CCACATGGAATATATAATGTCTAGACAATCAGTCTGGGTTTGCTTTGTAACTCTCTTAGGAAACCGTGACACGGAATTTATTTGCTTCTGTCACAGAAAAGCAGGTATTTGTTTCACTTACTGGCTCTTAATTACCCTGAAGAATTCCCTCTTAAACCCCAGGCATTTCCACTGTTTGTTAACAGTGTTAAAATGATGACAAATATCTGAAGCTTGAGGATTTTCCTTTCTCTTTGAGTGAGTGTGCTGAGGCTCGGCCATACAGCATCCTATTTGTCTCGAGTCCAGCCGGGAGCACAGAGGAAACGCTGGTTTTTGGGAGGAACACCCATTCCCTCGCTGCCCTAGCCCATCAGTCATTTGGCTGTGCTCCTTTCACACCTAGTGTAAGAGCAAGAGGTGGAAGAACCCCCTGTGAAAAATAAACTGACAACTTCTAGACTGATTTTTTTTTTTTCTTTTTCTTCCCCCCTCCCCGTTAATATCAAAACTCATTCCCTCAAATGGCCAGATTTGAGAGGCAGATGACTTTTATGCCCCATTGCGCTGCAGGTGATGGACGCAGCATTCGGGCAGCTTATTTAGGGTCTGCAAATCTACAGGATGGCCCCGAGTCCCCAGGGTGAGGTCTCCGGCCCCTTTGGATTTACGGGGGGACAGCGCTTGATCAGAGCAGCAGAAGGAAATGCCGTACCGAGGGCGCGGGCAGGGACGTACCCGTGTTAGCAAAGGCGGGTGTGCCGCGCTGCTGCGCGGGCTGCCCGTGGATGCGCGTGCCGCCACCGGTGAAGTTTGTGCTTATCCCAAGCCCTCGTGCCACTGCATCCAAGACCAGGGATGCTCCTTCCCCTCCAGGTCTGTCTTGTGGATTTTGCAGTAAGTAAGCAAATAATTTCTGGCTGGTGGGGAAGAATGGGGTGAAACGGAGAGGAGACGGTGGCTGGTTTGGTAAAGCGGCCGTACAGTGTGTTGCCCAAAGAGCGATCAGACGTGACAGCAGCAGTCCGCCGGGGAGATCCCCAAATCCCATGGGGAATGTGCCCAAATGAACCAGCACTTGCAGTGTCTGGCGTGGGTTATCTGTTGGGACCGTGGCACCGGTTTCCATCCACTGTTTGTACCAAGTCTCCTGGAAAGTGTGGTTTCGAAAAGAAATTGTGTCTGCTTTTGTTCACTGGAGAAATTGGCAACATGCAGCCCTGAAGGAGATAAAAATTGTGGTTTGTCTTTTGTTCAAGTCTATATTTCTAATAAAGAGTCTGCTTAGAAACATCACCAAATATGGATGGACATGGAACTATAGCGAATAGAGAAGAAGCAGTGAGACGCCATCAGTTAATCTGCCGTATCCATCTCTTATTCCAGAGTAATCAGTTACGAGTGCTGTCCTGGATATGAGAAAGTTCCTGGAGAAAAAGGCTGCCCAGCTGGTAAAAATATGTTTGACATTTTTTAGACTTCTTAAAATTATACAGCTGCCTAGTAAAGGGAAATGTTAGAAAGTTACTCAAAGTGGATTTGATTTTTGCAATTTGTGCACAATATTGCCATGAACAAGTCAAAAAGGGACTCGGCAGAGCACCAGCTGAGTGCCAGATCAGCTCCAAAGCACGCAAAATGTTCCAGACAACTTAAAACCTTGGATATAATTAAACTTAATCAAGCATGGGAGGGCCATAGGGAACTACTTATTCCAACAAGTAATATAGCTGTGTTGGAAATGCAATACAAAGGAATGACAGAGGAGCAGACAGCTCTGCCAATCTCCGCTCATTTTTATTTTGGCAAGCGTGAGTTTAGCAAAATTGCGTTTAGGAGAAGGTACAGCTCAGCCACTGGCGGGTGTTGGGAGGGAATTAACTGGGTTTGCTGAAGAAAGACATCTTCTGCTTTTGCTTTCTGAACGCTTCCTTCCACAAAAGCTTGATGCCTCCCAGTTAATGACGTGGGCTGGTGTGGATGGGCCAGTGGAGACCGAGACCAGCGGTGAGCTGCCAGCTCCGAGCACCGAAAGCCTGAGTACCAGCAAGGATCGGGTGAAAGCAATGAATGTCTTTGCTTGCCTCAATTCACATCCATATACATCCGGAGTAACTCCATTTAAACCCGCAGAGATGCGGTAGATCCTGGATTGCACTGCTGTAATTGAGGCTGGAGCTGTCAGGCTGTGATTATTTATTATCTAATTACTGAACAGATAGGAGTTCCCTGACGTGCTCCATTTCCCCAGGCGCTTTCACCAGCAGCTCTCCTTTAACGCAGCGCAGGGAAGGATGAATGATGTTGTGTTGGGAACATAACCTTCTGTTCTTTCAGCGCTGCCGCTCTCAAACATCTATGAAACCCTGGGAGTCGTTGGGTCTGCCACCACGCAGCTCTACTCCGACCGGTCTAACCTAAGGCCAGAAATCGAAGGACCTGGAAGTTTTACAATTTTTGCCCCGAGTAATGAGGCCTGGGCGTCCTTGTCTGCTGTAAGATATAATTCCTCCTTTTTCTCCTCTTCCTCTGGCCTTCTTTAGTAGAGGTCCAGCTCTGCAGGGGTCTGGATCCAGCCCCGTCTTGTGGAATAGACACACTCCTGATATAGGAAGGACTATGAAATTCCGAGATGGGAATCCCTGTAGCGGCCCATCAGCTCCAGAGCTTTGTTTCTGAAAGAGCCCAACACTAGAGGTGTGGATGCTCTCCAGCGGGTGGATGAAGAAATCACCCCTTTCAGTTTCCCCACCTCTTGCCATTAGAGATTGCGTTAAGACCTGCAGCAAGAGACTTTCCACCCCTTTCACTTTTTCTTGTTGACCCTTACTTTACCACTCTGGTTGTTCTTAATGATTTGTACAAGTAGCCAGTCCCAGCTGGAGCCTCGGTAAACCTGCAGCCTTCGCGCACCAGTGTGTTCCTTTGCTCAATTACATACACATTTCCTTTACATTGGTTTTGATTTTCTCACTCTGTGTCTTGTGAAATTTCCACTCCTGACATTGCCACCGCTGTCCTGCTGGTGCTCCCATCCTAGTGGAGCATCTCGGTGAACAGGGGAGAGTCCCGACTGTACAACCCCCATCCAGTTACAGCCCACACTGAAGTCGCTCAGCCATAACCATGTAAGAACAACTGTTGGATCAGGGAGGGAGCATCTTTTTGGCTCTCCCTGCTACCAAGCCTCTACCCCAAATGTGCAGGATGAAGGACCCCCTTGCAGGGATGGTGCTGTCGGGGAAGGGCTCCTGGTGTATTTGTCCTGGGCCCTGAGCGATGCCTTTTGTTGCCTTCCTGCTCATTTCGATGCAGTGATCCCCCACCGGAGCTTGCTGCCATCATTGCTTCGTCTGCCACGGGTGGGGGTGCCCGAGCTGCTGGTAAGGCAGAGCATACAGATTTACGGAAGTCAGAGCTCTTAATTTGCACAGATGGCTTAAGGCTGAATACATCACAAGACACATGCGCACACACCCCCACCTTGGAAGCACCCTGGACGCAGCCAGACCTCCTGGCTCTCTCCAACAACTGGCTTAATTTTTCTGATTTTCAGGAAACTCTGGATTCCTTAGTCAGTAACGTTAACATTGAGCTGCTCAACGCCCTCCGCTACCATATGGTGAACAAACGGGTCCTCACAGATGATCTGAAACATGGGACCACGCTTAACTCAATGTACCAGGACCTGCCTATCCAGATTCACCACTATCCCAATGGGGTAAGACATTTGTATTAAACCTACCCACAGCGGGCGTGCTTTTCTGCTGCCTTGCACCTCCTACACCGGGACCGCCAGGACTCTCTAATGCTTAGGCTGATGATTATTGATTTAGGATGCATATTTAGAAGGAGCTTGAAAAGAATATTTATAAACAGATAGTTTCATTGATGTTATTGCGGGGAAGTTGCCCACATTGCTGTATAACAGTATGCTTGGCTAAGTATTCGTTCTTGCATATTTTCTTAGTCTTGATGATTCAGGGTAGACAAAAACACTGATTATTTTCAAAGCTCTTTAAACATGAACTGTTTCAAACATTCTTGATAGAGCATTCTCATTCTTTGTGTGTTTTTTTAGGAAACCACATTTCTGCTCCTGCTGATTCAATATTACAGCGCTCGCTGTGTTTGAAATAGAAAAACAGCAGAGGCTGCTTTACCTTCTTGTTTTAGTGCACGTAACACCTTTCCCTCTGCAGATTGTGACTGTGAACTGTGCCAGGCTGTTGAAAGCTGACCACCATGCCACCAACGGGGTGGTTCATGTCATCGACAAAGTCATCGCCACCACTACAAACAGCATTCAGCACATCATCGAGACTGAGGAAAGCCTGGAAACTCTTCGGGTGAGTCCATCCCCGTGTGCTCCAGGGATCCTTAAGATATTCAGTCATCTTACTCCCAGTGAATTTTCATGAAGAGCTTACTAGTGCCTAGGTGCTGTGACTCTAAAGCTGCTGATAAAATCCTTGT